AGAAATTGAATAAATAAATAAATAAATAAATAAAATCAGAGGATAGGTCTGAGGACATGACTTGTCCATGAAAGCTCACATTAAAATATTGCAGTTAGACTTTGGCCACAATATTTTTTGTCTTCTTCTTTTTTTTAACTCTCTTGGTGTATGTGAGCCTTGCTGGCCCTAGCCAGGTCCACTGGAGCTTCTTCCTCCATTCCTAGGTCCATAGATGAGGCCACAGATGGCTCGATACAAATAGGTACAAAAGTGTTCCTTGCATAATTACATTGTAAACTCTAGTTCAGCAGTTCTTAATCTTTTCTTTACCACGGACCCTACTTAAATGTCTGTTGTTGCCGTGGACTACTAAGACTTAACTCCCTATTTAAACTCTAAAGTGCATCAAATATTTATTTAAAGTTTCTCATGAAGGGTCTCATCAACAGATATTCTTTGGTATAAAGGTGACACTTTTTAAGATGACTGGAGGAAACTTCATTTTGATTTGAAAAAGATGCACCCTCATAAACAGCATCAATTCTTTTACGTTTCAGATTCAGCCAGTGAGCCATTTTGAGGCTCAGCCAAAATGTTTTGTTACAAAATTCACTGCAATAATATTGGAAAAGTCACTTTACCCAACAATAACCAAATGGTTTTATTAGCAGAAACCAAAAAAGAAACACGATCACAAAGTCTGTCCGACCAGTCATTCACACTGACTGACTCTGACTCTCTCTTCCTACAGCTTTTGTCTGTGCAGTAGCAAGAAATATCACATGTTGTCTCTCAGCCACTCAGCATCATTCATTTGCATGTTCTCGCCATATGTAGAAATATCAAAGTTATTTCCTATCAAACACTTTTCATAACCGAATTTTACTTTTGTTTGATTTTAATGGTGGTGGTGGGTTAGAAAAGCCAACTTTTAAACAAGCAAGGGAAATTAAGGTTTTGTTCTGCATTTTCTTTCACTTTCTTTGCTTCATTCATTCATTCTTTCTAACTGCAAAAGGTCATAACTTTTCTTCAAGCCTTCGCAAACCTCTTGTGAGGACATTGCGGCCTCCCAGGGGCCTGTGGACCACAGTATAAAAACCTATGCTCTAGTACTATGGTGGGGTATAAAAGTCAAAATAGCAACGGGCTTTATTACAGCAAGGATGGAGGATATAAATACATGTAAACCGTAACTCACATTTCCTAGTATAGCTGCCTTCTAGAGATGGGAGTATTCATATACAAATATGCATATCCCCACACAGGTGGCGATAACGAGAGTCCAACCCCATGGTGCCGGACTGTCCACTCACTGATCCACCACTGCCACAGATGTAGCAATTCTTTCAATGGCTCTGCAGCTTACGATCGGCAAGCCACTCCTGGCAAGAGGTGGGAGGACAAGCCTCGCTGCAAGGTTGAAGAGTGGCTCGCAGATCGCGATCTGCAGAGCCATTGGAAGAATCCCAGCATCCGCAGCAGCGGCAGATCGGTGAGTGGACCATCTGGTCCCATGGGACTGGACCCTTGTTATCGCCACCTGTGCAGGGATATCTGTACACGAATAGCCCATCTCTACTCCCTTCATTTCTCTTAAGTCAGTAGCATTAAAGTCCTATAACCATCCAATTACCACCACCAGGAGGGATTTTAGTTCAGTCTTGCCTACTGTAGTTGCCCACATGGGCTCAAACCATGATGCTTGCAACGAAGAGGGTCATTATACCTAGACCAAGGGCAGTGATGACAGATACTTTCTCTCTAACTGAAGAGAGCTGGTACTGGTGCTGCCACTGGCGTTGTCGCCACAAGTGTCAAGGCTGGGTTACAGTCAGCTCCCCTGGTCTGGGTTATTTGAGGTGGCATCCCTCGCTCTTGTCCCTTTCACCAATAAGAGGGGCAAGGGAGGGGGCTGGGGATTGATGCGTTTTTCTGCCATCCCTTTGGGCACCCTCAACTGTACAATTATCCAGTCTATGAGTCCTCTTTATAAATGTATTCCCAGTTCCTGGGTCGCTCAGGTGCTTCAATGGGATCTTCCTCCACTTGGAAGCCCTCATTAGATTCCTCCAAGGTATCTCTCCAAGATGCTTCTTCTTCCACTCCCTCCACCAGGATGCCAGGCTCCCAGTTTGTAACACCTGCTCTACTTTCTCCCTCTCCTCCCCAGATGAGGTCTCTTTCTCCAGCACCTCCCTTATATACCCCAGCAACCAGGTTTCGTGCCCAGGCCTCCCCTTCCAGGGCCTCTGTTTAAGTTCCCTGCTCCTGTGCAGGTTCCCCTGGTGACTGTTTACTAGGTGATCGTCCCAAAATTCTGCCCAGGAGCTCACAGTGCAAAATTCCTTGGGTTCTATGGAAAGATGAGACAGCCAGCCAACAGGGGGGCCTGTGCCACTGTTGTCATCCTCACAGTGTAGCACTGAATGAAGACCCAAGATCATTAAAGGCTATTACACAATTTGATCTGTGTCTAGTGGTGGAACTGTCCTAGCACAAGCCTCATTTGGCTGGTGGGTTTGTATGTTCAGAATAAGTTCAGGTGTACTATCCATGACACAGTTAGTTGAACAGTGGATTGCACATACAGTTTTGTAAGCCGTTGTACAAGACCTTCTGCAACTGGATGTATGAGTTATTGTCTTATGCTGCCCAGGGTGACCATTGGTCAGATGGACTATCAAGTAAGTAAGTAAGTAAGTAAGTAAGTAAGTAAGTAAGTAAGTAAGTAAGTAAATGAATAAATAAGTTGTTGCACAGCAGCTTGCATAGCTTCTTGTGCAACTGCTAATCCAAGGTAGAGAAATTTCAGAATTGGGAGCAAGCTGTCTTTTGCTACTTGTCTGAGCTGTGGCATGAATGAATCGGGTTGGGGTATATGTCTAAATGAATCTATCTCTCTCTCTCTCTCTCTCTCTCTGTGTGTGTGTGTGTGTGTGTGTGTGTGTGTGTGAATGCATGCATGCATGCATGCATGCATGCATTCACATGTGTGGGTATGCAGTAGCCATGTTTGCCCTTACCTTTGCCTGTCAGTCCTGGCTGTGTCCATTGCTGGCTCCACAGCATGAATCTGTCTCTTCCACTTATGCTTCCTGCACCCTGGGCATGAGCCTCCTGCGCTCCACTTAGTCTTTAGCTGTTTCCTGCCCTTCATTCAGAGGCTTCTTATCTTTGGCAACTTCCTGTACAACATATACGCTTGCTGTCTCAGGGCCCCAGGTATTCAGGAGAATGTCTTCCCACTCAGGATATGACAAAATGTTGTCTTGCCAGAGACAAATCCTTTCAGAAATGCTATGGAGGCACAATCATAATGAGTCTAGCATTCACATCATGATGATGACTGACCACAAAAGAAGGAAGGCAGGCAGGCGAGGAAGCTAATGTAGAACTGCCCAAATGTCATGCTAGGGTAACCAAAACTCATGTATTTTCATAAAATAATGCAAACCTTGTATGTAATGTGGAGGCCTTTTTCTTATTTCTATAATACCTGAAAAGACTGAGCCATACATAGAAATTAATCAAGAACAGGAAAAAACAATATTGCAAAATCCACAGATCAATTTACATAGACAATTTTATTTACAAATACTAAATTGTACATTTTCAGACAGCAGCAGAGTATAAAATTAGGAAATATTATTTTAAAGTTGAAGTTAAGAGTGAGAAACCTTTACAGAAACTCACCCAATAGTGCAATTGTTTCAGCAGCTGGACAACAATGCAGAAACTTCTAATTTGATGACTTTTTCTTCACCAGAAAAGAATACCAAAATAAGCAATGATATAAGCCTTTTTGTTTACAATTTATTCTGCTTCAGATCAGCTTGATATATTTTTCAGACCACTATAGCTGCTATTATATAATAAATTTTATACACTATATTACGCATAGTAATACTATGCATATTATCCAAATATATTTCTGTAGTTCTCTCTTGCTTAAACACCAGACATTTGACATTTATAGATTACATCAATTGCTCTGCATGTGCAACCAATTAACTTTAAGACTGAAAATCGACGATGTTTGACTTGCAAACAAAATTGATTTTTTTTCACAGAATTATTTATTCATGTTAATACTGCTATATAACTTACAATATAGACTCTGGAGCAGCCGATGGTATATTTTAACTGTAAAAATTACTAAGGTAAAATATTAATTGATCTGCCTATGTTTTATATATATTATTGTGATTATAATACTTAAAATAATATTACTACAGGTACTTATGTTTGACTTGGTAGTAGAATTGTTCTTATGCTGATAAATTGCTTATAATACATTTCCCATGAATACTCTCAGAATATGAAATTTATTATCTTGATCAGGTATCCCTAAACTACTACTTTACTCAGCGAGGCAACAGACATTACACGTGGATAAACAAAATGCCCAATGATAATATTTGATTTTTGCAAGCTCCAGTACATGTTGATTTAATTATATGTACATTGATTGTTACAGGGTTTTTAACTAATTTGAATTACAAAGCTGTACTGCTATTCTCTTATAAAATATAAAGAGAAGGCAAAACAATATGAAAACTAGAAACATTAGAGATAGTCATATTTTGTTATCGGCACTTCAGTGCTAGGCATCATGCTGTTTCCCCATATTACAAACGTTAGTAATATAGCACAACAGTTGAATCAGCATAAATGCCTGTCCTCCTGGCTCATAAGAGCAGGAGAGCACTAGCCACTGTCAACCATCAACAGCCAAATAGGACTTTCCTGATCAATGTAAGCAGAGATAGCAAGCCACAGCAATTTAAACCTTGAAAACAAAGGAGAATAGGCAAAAATTGAGGAATCTGAAGATGCCACTGGGGCAATTCACAGGGTCTGGAAGTTAGGCTAACCAACCTTGTTTCATGAAGTATGCATGAACATCCTGTGGTTATCCAATTTAACATTGCAAATCTTTTGATTCATTTCAATGTGGCTAAAATATTTTACCTGAAACTGTGCCAGCATCTTCGTATAAAGATATGAGCTGTTGCTGGGTTGCCTTTCAGTCCTTGGAACAGTTTTAATTTTATTTCTCCTTCCCTATCTGTCCTTTCTATAACTCTTGCCCTACACAGACTGCAGTGCCTTCAGTTTCCCCCGTCCCTTATAAAGACCCACTTTGGCTTAAATACTGATATCACTTTCTTCCTCTTCCTTCCTCGTTTTCCTGCAAGGAAATGCCCTTTTTTAAAAAACAAAGCAAAAACAAAAAAACCAATGTGTTTCTTTTTAATTCCTCTTCATCTAATTGCATAAATAGCACAGGAGACCATCCTAACCCAGTTGGTACAGCTACCATTGGCCACAAGTAATCAACTGCTTGTAGTTTCATTCAAATATTTTCCTATTAAATGAAACATTTTAATTATTCTTGTATTTTAAAAGCAATTATCTGCAAAATATTAGGTCATACTTATATAACTATTAAGGGCACTTTTACAGATCATGTTATGTGAGCAATTGGCATCTGAATTAGCAATATCCCATCTTCCACAATTCATGTGTTAAATGGAGCCAACACACACACAAAATAGCAGACCTGAATCCCTATAATGGGAAATCTCTTATTGATGAGATATGTCCTGTTTGGGTACCATCTCTAAACTACTAATGCTGATGTGAACATTTGGAAGCTCCCTAACACATTATACACTTTGCTGCCGCATTATCTTATGAGGATGAAAACTTGCTAATGCAGTTTCATGGAGAGAAGTCTGTACTCCATCCTGACCATTGTCAGATACAAAAGGAGGGTCCAAAGGTTCATGTTTAACCGATTGAACAATCTTGGGATTTTTAAATTCAGAGTGTGTCTTCAGAACCTGGCCGTTCAGCCCCCTCTCATCAATCAAATTTGCACTATAAAACTGATTGCAGTAATATGAAGCTGGCTCTCTCTGTGTTGTTTCTATACAGATGGGCTTTTGAGGGCTCAAAGAAGTTGCCTCCTTATTACGCACAACTTTGCCAACTCCATTTCTATTGAGGTTATTGGTATGATGCATTACTACGTGTTGCCAGTTATATGGTGAGTAGACACAATGCTTTGGGGTTTGGCAAGGGAAGAATTGCTCGCCGAGGTCTAGTTCTGTTTTAAGGTGGACCCTAGAAGAAAATTCCATTGACTGCTTTTTCATTGTGTAGTTTTCATCCATCCAAACCTGACTTGGTGAAATGGTATAACTACTAGCTATGTTTTCAGAATCTGAATCATATTCTGTTTTGATCGGCATGTTATGAGTGTTGTACAGAGTTTCTGGGGATACTGGTGGGCATTGTACCTTCATATATTCTCCTGAGTAACTGTCTAGTGTGAATTGCTGCAAGCTTGGATAAGGATGGCAACTTTCTATGCCACCCCAGGGGGAAGAACAGGTTGATGACAAACCAAAGAGCTGCTGATCTCTATTGTAGCGAGGTCTTAAAGTTTTGTTTGAATACATGTTCTCGTTGTGCTGGCTTCTAGAACAAGAACTTGGAGGATTTCTTGAAGTCCACATGCCATGTCCATTGTTATTGTGCTGGACACCAAGCAATGAGACAGCAGGATTAACAAATTCTTGCTGAATGAAAAATTCCTCATTATTTGAATTGCGTTCAAATTTCACTTTTATATTATCCTGCTCTTTCTTCCTTGAGCTCCACTTACTATGTTTCTTCTGTCCCAATGTTTCCCTGTTCCTTTTCATGGTTGCAATGCTGTTTGGTATCTTTGGAATTCTATCTTCCCTGTCAGCCAAAGAAAAGGAAAAAAAAACAATCAGCCAGTATGATGATAATATTAATAAGAACAACCACAAGGATGATTGGCAGTGATATGATAACGGAAGAATGGTTTTTCAGTAATTTTAATACAGAAATATGTAATGGATATTTATACTGATATGCCACATTACTGGAAAGAGTTGGATTAGCATATTTTTAACCTTATATTGTATTATGAATTGTAGTATAAATTGGCCAAAATCCTATTGCTTAGTGTAGAAAATTTCACTATAGTAGGACCACTGAATCAATGGGGATTTGATGAGTCAAAACATCCACAACAATGTATTTATTTATTCAAAATGTGTTTAACGCTCCTTTCTCCTTAAAAAGGACTAAAGGCAGGTTACATCATTAAAGGACAATATTTAAAGCTAAAAATAGTAAGTATACAAATACTGAAAAGGATCATACAAATAGGACTCTAAAAACAATAAACAAAAGCAACACCAAAAACACATTCAAAACAGTAAGGCACAACCATCCATTCAAAAATCCCACTTAGGCAGCCAGTCACTCAGGGAAAGCTTGCCTGAAGAGAAAGGTCTTCGCCTTTTAAAATAAATTAGATCCACAGAAAATGGCATGTAGGTTGTCATGTTGACTTTTGGCATGATCTTTTACCAGGGTCCTACAAGCATGCTTTCACTCTCTCTTTTGTGTGTGTGAAAGCTGATCTAAAGTATGGGATATAATCATACAACAACACATTTAAATTCTGTCACTAATCTGAGTAACTCTTTCCTCTCCATCCATAACAAGTATAGCATCCACTCAGCCATGGAAGATCAGGGATTTAAAAAAACTGGATCATCTTTGCTCTCCTCTAAGCATGGTGACCGTGCAATTTAAAAAAACTGGATCATCTTTGGGAAGAGGAACTATTTGCTCTCCTCTAAGCATGGTGACCGTGCAGATACAGAACAAATGAATATTTTTCATGACTCCCTGCCTGTCCTAAGAGACATGGATGAATGAATTTCTAAGTGCGGGATGAGCTGGAAACCAACAACACCTGGAAAACCAAAGGTTCCCCTCCATTGGTTTATACAATGTATTATCGAAATCAGAGATGAGAAATATCTGGCTGATGGTGGATCCCAGAGAGTTCCTTCCATTGCTTCTAAGCTCTGCCCTGAAGTAGCTAATGGGAGATGAATATCATCAATCACTGATTGGAGAAAAGACCAAAGATTCTATCTTGTGGTGCTCCCCTGTCTACCAGGAAGGCAAGAGCTGTGCTAAGAGGAACCTTAACTGTTGCCCCAGGATCACTAATCATGGCTGATAGCAGGGATCCCCTGCATGTGCCATCCCATTTCAGGCAACAAGCTATGCACAAAGTTGGCCACAAACCCTTTGTTACCAATGAAATCAGGGGCATGACCCAGGATACTGATGCCATCCAGCCTTTAGAAAAGAGTGGGATATGTGCTCTCATTCCTGATCTAAACCATTGTGTGGTGTCTTATTTAGGCACAGATTCCTAAATGGTCTCTGAACTGGGTGTATACAGATGTAAAATAATTTAGAAAAAGCTCTGCTCTTCATTAAGCTCTCTCCTTGAGGAACATAAAATATTAGATAACATTAATTCATAAAACTGACAGCAAATACTTGCTGTTTTTCTCTTTTGTGAGGTTTCGTAGAGTAACTCATATTGGCATAAATCTGAAGAAGATTTTGTCTAGTCTTCAGCTACAAAACAAAATCCTCTATAACAACACAATTTTAGGGATGTGACCATATGCTGTAGCAGTGAGAGGGAGAAAAATACACCACATCATTCTGGTTAAGTATATTTCGACACTGAATTGTGGCTCAGGACTGCTCCCCACCAGAAGCAGCAATGTGTTTTTGACCCTATATAAGATGGCAAATTAAGGTTTCTTTTTAGAATACTTTGTGAGGGAAACAGCAGTTTTGGAGTTAACATCAAGTTTTTAAATACAGGTACTGTAAAATGCCTAAGTTGAACCCACTATGCTCATGTATTTTGAGAACTGTATAAGAGCAGCAGTGCTAAAGAAGACATCATGACCTTGATTGTGGGCAGAGGATGGAGTCCTTGTTGCACCTAGAGTGAATTAGCAGAATTTGGCTGGTACAGCTAGGGCCAATTAAAAAAGCAGTGTCATTGGTGGAGTCCTCAGGATCATGGATGGATGATGGGATATAAGGAAGGTAGCTAGTGAGAGTTGGTTCACTATCATCAGGAAATAAATGACATAGGATATTCATGCAATGCTGTGTGCTACCTCCTATGGAGAGCTCTATATGCACTTGTAAGTATAGCTCAGCTTTATATTAGAGTTTCTTGTTTTCCTGTGAGGAAAGCCCTGTTATACCTTGAGGACTGTAATTCTGTGTATGCTACCTAATTATACTTTTTGTATTCACTGCTGAATATGCTGTGGTTATATAAAAGGTTATTTGACCTTTTGTCAGGTTGTTATGGTTTGTCAATTTTGCTGTGGTTCACTCAGACATCTGTAAAGGGTTGGTGGTACTAAACCTGGTGTCTGAGGATGTTTGGAGGCTTTGAAAGATTTGGGGTTATTTTGACTTTTAGGCAGAGTTGGTTTGCAATGAGAAGCAACAACCTGCTTGTGTGTATTTTCCCTGAAGCACCCAGGAGTAAGCAATTCAGAGGACTGGGGAAAGAGTCGGCCATAGGAGGCATTTCCCAACCACTCGTGTGCTGATCCTCCTGGATATAACCCATCCAGGCAGACAGTGTGACTGAGTGGTAAGAGGACCAACCACTCTGTGTAACCAGAATAAGTCTTCACTTCCTTCTCATGAAATATTTTTGTCTTTGAAAGCTTCCAAATGTCTAAACAAACTTACCTGGGAGTTTGCTGAAGAGCAATGGCATATTCTGAAGAACCATCTCTATACTGAACCTGAGTATTCGCCTGTATCCAAACCCAGTGGTCTTTGTTCGCTTGCAGCTTCACTAAGGAAATGCCATTTTCCCTATTATTCTCTCCTATAAGGTTTGAGTAAAAATGTTTTTGGTGGTGAGTATGTTACTAAAGGAATAATTAAGTTAAGTATCTATTTATATAGTCAATTCAGTACTGAGCATTCCAGTTTGTTCTGTACAGAGAAAAATCCAAGCCTATTATCCAGCATTAACAAATCACAGACAAGAAAGGACACCCCTTTTCAGTTCCATTATTGCAGAGCAATATCTATCTGTTCAGCAACAAAAAGCTAGATCAAATTCAATGATACATTAATAAATAGCAACAGAAATTCCTGAAATGCTGAAAAACACCTTTTTTCTAGCACAAGTTCTGTGCACCAATACCTTTTGCAAATGCATTTGCTTTGGTTTGTAATTGGTCAATGGGAAGCAAAAATTTAAAGGGTGGCACCTATGTCTGTATTCTCATTTAGTTAGTATTTTCATTTATATGTCATTCTTCTGTTTGAAGATACCCAGAATGTTGTGCACTACAATAGTTTTACAACAATCAAGTAATAAAATTATTCTCATAAATGATAAAAATTGAAATAAAAATTACACACACAAACTAAAGTCTAGTAGACAATGTTGTCTTGTATATATTACCATATAATAAATCCTTGCCACATAAGTGGTGGAGCAACAGTTTCCTAACATCCAAAAGCCTGCCAAAACAATTTGACTTTACACACCTCCTGCATCCCTGCAGGGATTGTCCTACTTTGTAGGGACTTGGGAAGAGAATTTCAAAGCATGAAGGCAGCAACACAAAAATACTATTTTCTAATAAAGTCAAGCCAAACAGCTTTAACAGTCGGCACATTTAGAAGGCACTTCCAGATGAGCTCAGCTGGTGAAGGGACTCGTATTGGTAGAGGTGGTCCAATAGGTATGTGGGTCTCAAGCCATGTAGGACTTTAAAGATGATAACCAATACCTTGAATTGAACCTGGAGAATCACTAAGGCTAATGCAGTTGGCACAAAATAGGTGTTATATGATCATGACAAGAAGAGCTCATTAACAACCTAGTTGCCACATGTTGTACCATCTGTAGCTTCCAAATAGCATTCAACGGTAGCCCCATGTAGAATGAATTACATTATTCTAATCTCGAGGTGACAGTTGCCTGGATCAGTGTAGTGATTCTGCCTTCTTCAAGTAAGAACAACATTTCTGGACCAGGAGCAGATGATAAAGTGCTGGTCTTGGCTACAGTTTCCACTGTTTCTCCAAAAGGACCATTGCACCTTATAAGTTGGCCAAGCTCCTTACCTGGTGGTTCACAAGGGGAATTCTTTCTTCAGCAGTCATTAGAGAAGTGGCAATTGGATTTGTCTATCCCCATGTGACCAGCATCATCTCCATCTTGTGCAGATTCAGTTCAGTTTTGCTGACACTCGGCCACTCAGTCATAGCCTCTAGACACTGACTAGGGACTGTCACTCTGGTGGATTAGTTACTGTGAGCTCCTATTGGTCTCTGCTTGTATTAGTCAGATTGCAAAAGAGCTAGAGAATTGCAAATGTTTCTCAAAAGATGGCAGTTGTTACCATGCATTTATACACAAATACCTTGAACCCCTTTAATTGGTGAAGGGAGACTAGAAAATTGCCCCTTATAAATATTATGTTCAGAGAGAGAGAAAAGTTTGTGAAACATTTTCCACATTATGTTAAATGAGTACTGTGGAGGAAAATAAATTGAAAAGAGTAATACCTTCTTGAAAAGTATTTCTTCTATGAAAATCTGCCATATACTGTGCAGAAATGGACTTTGAGCTGTGAAGATCAAATGATAAGAAAACAGCTTAATAAATTACAATACAGCTAAATAACATGTCCCAGAATGGTGCTGGAAAAATCACTTTGACATAATTTGTGTGTACACAATAGATTTCTATTCTCTCCAAAAGTACTATTCACTAGAGATGGGCTTTTCAGAAATCAAGGATTCCCAGTCCCATAATTCAGCAGGACAAACACGCCAAGGCCAAATTATGAGACCAGGAGCCCTCAGACCAGCAGGAAGTAGAGCAGCCTCCTCAACTCCATGATGTTTCCACACTTCTTCTATGAGCCATTGGAAAAGTGGGGATCATGAGGGAGTCACCATGGAAGTCACAAGGATTTCCTGCAATTTGCAAAGCTGCATGGAGGAACGGGCCCTATGGAGGCTGCCTCCATATAAAGTGTATGACAGCAGCTATACACTTTCAAAATCTCATCCTTACTATTTACAGGACCAGATTAATTATGCACAGCATGCAGTAGAATAGGTCTCTCATTTTTCAGTTTGATCGTGTCATGTTTGGAAATGTCCCTTTATTCAGCTATTCTCAGATTTTTATTTTGGCCATGACCATAAACAGAATATGAAAGAAATACAGGCTGAATCAGGATTGTATAAGTGGTATAACAAACCTTATAAGGTGATGTGTGAAAAATTGTTTCTAGTTGGTAGCCCCCTTTAAATGTATGAGGGCCTCCAGAGGGCCCCTGTTGAGAATGGCTGCAAAATTGCATTGCATTGCTCAGATTTAAATATTTAGCAATATATCCAAGTTTATTCTTCCAGATGGGCGGCTTGCACCTTACAGTATTTGATTATTCAGATCATTATTGATCTAACAGCAGTATATAAGTACTGACAATTGGGAACTTTAGTTTACTTGAAATCACAACAATGGAAAATTAAGAACTTAAAATATATAGCTCAATGCATTAACAAAATCATCCAAGGAATGACCGCATGAATAAGTATTAAAAATGGAATTTGGACTTGCTTTATATCTGTTGCAGCTGTGTGATCAGATTTGCATCTTGTTTTCACAAAAAGGCTTTTTAACTTCACATCAGTCACAGAAGGAAGCAGAAGTGGTACCACTATGCAGAATAAAGAGAGCTGAGGGGGTAAAATAGCTCCTGAGGATGATTTCCTTTTCTGCCCAAAGAGAAATTTCAGTTTACCCTGGAAATGCATGGTCTGAAAATAGCAAAACACAGAAGGAACTCTAAATATTTAGCTGTACAAAAACAAAGTATAATATTGACAGACTGTAACTTTTTTTCCTGATATACAAGGACACTATCATTATATTGGACAGATTCATACATTGCTGTAGCACTTTAACGTAGCTAAACCCCATGCCATGCTGGAAACATATGTCAAGAAGACTGACGCATGAAATACTAAAGGCAATTGCAGTAAGGCAAAAAAAAAATCATTGTGAGATCCACTTCCACATGTACAGCAGTGGTAAGCAACACAAAGCTTACAGGTCACATATATCCCTTCCCCAACTATCCTGACCTGTTTCTACCAGTGTAGCTGAATTTTGGTAGCCCTGCTACAACTGGAGAAAATAAGAAATGGAGCCACTGCCACTGTAAACCAAAGAATACAACTGCAAGGAACATCTCCCCATAAATTACGAACCCTTCCACACTGAATGCTTCTCCTCTTGTTTCCTGTGTCTCAGATCACCATAATCTTGCTTCTCATCTCTGAAGTTACCAGAGAGAGCCAATGCATTTAAGTAGAATTTTACAGATGGTATGCCTCTCAAGAGTTTTAGAGGGGGTTCTCAAACTCAATGGAGCCCATGGACTATAGGAAGTTGCCCACCCTGATGGGCAACATCAGATTTTGGGAATGATGGAATCATTGGGTGATCCCGGGTCAGTCACTATTTATGAGCCTGAACTAACACATGAGATTGGGAAGGCCATTGTGAGATGGATAAGGATTAAAGGAATGAATAAAATACAGTGGGGTCTCGACTTACGAACTTAATCCGTATCGGAAGGCAGTTCTCAGGTTGAAAAGTTCTTAAGTCGAATCTGCATTTCCCATAGGAATGCACTGAAAACCATTTAATCCGTATCTGCTCTTTTCGTCCATAGAAACTAATGGGAAGCTGCTATTCCGCCTTCTGCCACTAGAGGGGGATATTTTTTCTTTTTTCCTTCTAACCTAAGATGACTTAGGTTTTAAAAAAAGGAAAAAAAGAGCTCGTAACTCGAATCTAAGTTCATAAGTCGAGTCCATATATTCCTATGAGAGTGGTTTGTAAGTCGAAACGTTCAATTGTGAGATGGATAAGGATAAAAGGAATGAATAAAATATACGGGCCCCATGGATGTCACTCTGAGCAAAAGGGAGAAAGCTGTGGATTAGGGGGATATTTTTTCTTTTTTCCTTCTAACCTAAGATGACTTAGGTTTTAAAAAAAGGAAAAAAAGAGCTCGTAACTCGAATCTAAGTTCATAAGTCGAGTCCATATATTCCTATGAGAGTGGTTTGTAAGTCGAAACGTTCGTATGTCGAGCCGTTCGTAAGTCAAGACCCCACTGTATACTAGCCCCATGGATGTCGCTCTGAGCAAAAGGGAGAAAGCTGTGGATTTCAAGTGGATTTGCTGTGACCAATGTTAAGTAAGGATTTTACAAAGATTTTGCAAAAAGCCTTTTTTAAAAGGGCAGGTTCCTTTCCATATGCAAGACATTTCGCTTGGAACAATTTTCTGTTAGTTCCATTTTTGTGTAGAAATACCATATGTACATCATATATTAAAAATTGACCCATGTATTTCATCAGACCTGTATATGTACAGACCCTAAAGAGATGTCACAAGACAAGTGCTTATTCATATCTACCTGTTTGCTTTGTCTGGGGTATATGTGGTTACAAAGAAGCTGTGGTTTCTTCAGCTTCATTGTTTCATACAGTTTATCTCTCATACTGGAGTAAATTGAATTAGAGTTGAAGATGCTTGAAGTGAAGGAGCATAGCTAGATAAGGCAGAAGAATGCAAAAGATTTCACTCCTTTTATTTACGTGTTCTGTTTTTTTGGGGGGGGGACATTCTTCCCTTTGCTTGATACGTGAAAGGAACAGACATAGGAATGGAATGCATGAGGCTCCCCTCTTGTGCCTGGTTTGCCTGTTGTGAAAAATAATGCACATGCACTTTTTCTACATGAAGATGTATATCAAACAGTTGATATGACAGTCGTTAGATACATTTGCCATGCGCACATCACTGCTAGCTGTGGCAAATAATGACTTCACAATTATACAATGTTTTAGAGCAGAACTTTGCCAAAAATAAGATCTCAGAGGGCTAGGAAGAGGAGAAAATTAATGGTCATAGGTAGTATCAATCGTCTACCATCATTCTGCCATGCTTCTTATCTCCAAGTGACCTTCAATGATACCTCACCAGAAGCAAGATTGTAAGGAAACCCCTGCTGGATTAGACTAATAGTCCAATTCCCCATTGCCCTATTTCCCTCAGGGAAGCCCAAAACTAAGCAGGCTACAGGAAATAATCCTCTCCTGCTCTCTCTCCCAGTAGCTGATCTCTGGGACCACAGTGCCCATGAGATCTAAGTTAGTGGCCATCAGCACAAGGTAACAGTTTCATCCTTAATGTAGGCATTGTAGCTGCAGTTCTGTACCACTTTGCCGCAACAATATTTCTGGAAATATTTGAATAAATCCAAAGGTCTGATTACTGAAATATAGGAAATGGCCGTTCCCAAATTTCTACATTTGACACAAGTCATTATGTGGCAATTAACCAGCAACATACAGCATATATGGTTACTTACAAGAAAGCCAGAAGTACTGTCTAGAAGGCAGCGGATTCGACAGGTAAAACAACGAGTTAAAAATGGTGAAAAGTCTGCTATGTTGTCACCCTCTTGCGCTGTACACATTTTACTAAGAATAAATTCTTCTCCTGAAAACAGTAATGTGAAATGTACATTTCAGTTTATGATACCAAAGAATGTTTTTTTAAAAAACAGCAAGGGAGTGGAAGTACAAACAAGAAAAGAAAAGGCAGCATGTGCAATAGAAGTAGTAGGCAAGGGATGGTGGAGGACAGAAATTGGGAGGAGGTAGTGGTATGGACAGCCAAATCATGAGGGAAAGAGGTAGCACAAAGTCCTTGTTTTAATATTTTTAATGTTTCCAGACTGTGGATAAGTGAATCAGCGGATACTGACCCTGTGGATAAACAAGTCTTATTGTAGTTGACTTTCTTCCCTCACTTTATCCACAGGGTCAGTATCTGCTGATTCACTTATCCACAGTCTGGAAACGTTAAAAATATTAAAACAAGGATCATATGTGTTGTGGGGTTTATGTGTGTATATAATGAAATTACCAGAACTGACCAATAGAGGGAGGGAGAGACCATGGTATGTATAGCATTTGCTATAGAAATATATTCCCATGATGTCATTACTAGAACTGACCATTAGAGGGAGCCAGAGACCATGCTATGTATAAAGGTAAAGGTTCCCCTTGACATTTAATCCAGTCATGTCTGACTCTAGGGCGTGGTGCTCATCCCCGTTTCCAAGCCATAGAGCCAGTGTGTGTCCAAAGACAATTTCTTTGGTCTCACCGAGGTGGTACCTATTTATCTACTCTCATTTTTACATGCTCTCGAACTGCTAGGTTGGCAGGAGCTGGGACAAGCGATGGGAGCTCACTCTGTTGCATGGATTTAATCTTACGACTGCTGGTCTTCTGAACTTGCGGCACAGAGGCTTCCGCAGTTTAACCTGCAGTGCCATCACGTCCCTGTGCTATGTATAGCATTCATAATTATAATAGTGTTTGCTATTATCCACATTTTCAGCATCCACAGGGAAGCATGGAACCAATCCCCCGTGGATATGGAGGTCATACTGTAGTAGCAAAATAGGGCAAAAGTTAAACAGTGGTAAACCTGGGGAGGCAATGGAATAAAGAAATAATCCTTCACATCTGTCCAATTCCTCTCTAACACACATGCACTCATTCTACTGCGGCAGATCCCTCCTCAGCTCAACAGAGTGTCAGTCAAACATACCTGTTGCTGCATGCTCATGTCCTCCAGGCATTAGTTGTGGTGGATTCATGGCCCAGTGTAGTTGCCTGCAGAAATCCTGCCGATCATCCACATGAATATAATCATATATATTTTGATGCATTACATCAGTCTGAAATAATTGTAATAATTGTAATAATTCATTAATTATTCTGAAGCTTTACACTTAAAGAAATGTAGCACAATGGCAGCTTTGATTTCTTAGAAAGTCAGTACCTTTTTAATAAACTACTATCAGTCTGAAAATGCCCAATGAGCAGCATTATTATTATTATTACAGTGGTGCCTCGCTAGACAGTTACTCCACATGACTGTTTTTTCGCTAGACATTGGCTTTTTGTGATCGCTATAGCAATTCGCAAAACAGTGATTCCTATGGGGGAATTTCGCTGGACAATGTTTGGTCCCTGTTTCGCAAACCGATTTTCGCTAGACACCAATTTTGACAGCTCCCTCCACGCTCGCAAAACAGGTGTTTTCGGGACCTAAGCTTCGCAGGACAGTGATTTAAACAGCTGATCGACAGTTTGCAAAGCGGCTTTCCTATGGCCGATCTTCGCTAGACAATGACGATTCTTCCCCTTTGGAATGCATTAAACAGGTTGCAATGCATTCCAATGGGGAAATGCTTTTCGCTAGACAATGATTTTGCTAAACAGCGATTTCAGTGGAACTGATTATCATCATCTAGTGAGGCACCACTGTATTTGGAACAAAGGGGAATCAGGAAAGAATCTGGGGCAGAGGCTCAACATTAAGTGGCTGTTTAACAATAATCAGTGGGATCCCTTCACAGTAAGGAAGAAGCTGAGACATGAATTTCCAGTGATACAAACTGAACCATAAAGATGTGTTGATAGCGTCTTACCTATAACTTTATGTTTTAATGAACTGAAGAACTCTACTTTTTAAAAAGCAATATTTAAACTGTATATGATATACAGGTGGTGATCTGACATGGTGGCGCTGCGGGTTAAACTGCAGAAGCCTCTGTGCTGCAAGGTCAGAAGACCAGCAGTCATAAGATTGAATCCACGCAATCGAGTGAGCTCCTGTCGCTTGTCCCAGCTCCCGCCACCCTAGCAGTTTGAAAGCATTCAAATGTAAGTAGATAAATAGGTACCACCATGGTGATGATATACAGGTGGTGATATGACATGGTGGCGCTGCGGGTTAAACTGCAGAAGCCTCTGTGCTGCAAGGTCAGAAGACCAGCAGTCATAAGATTGAATCCACGCAATCGAGTGAGCTCCTGTCGCTTGTCCCAGCTCCCGCCACCCTAGCAGTTTGAAAGCATTCAAATGTAAGTAGATAAATAGGTACCACCATGGTGGGAAGGTAACGGCATTCCGTGTCTAGTCGCACTGGCCATGTGACCATGGAAGATTGTCTTTGGACAAACGCTAGCTCTATGGGTTGGAAACTGAGATGAGGACCGCCCCCTAGAGTCGGACACGACTGGACAAATTGTCAAGGGGTACCTTTACCTTTACCTTTACCTTTACCTTACGATATATAATATGTAAACTGTATATTGTAAAAGCCCTAAGTTGTTAGCATCTTGACTTTTAGATTTGTTTTAGTTATAGTGTCATACCACAGAGAATCTGTAAGCAGTACAGTGGTGCTTTTTGCTGATGTACATCCTACATTTTTGTGAACCTGCCATAATATTCTCAAAACTTTCCCTCAGAGTCAAACAATGGCATTTGTTGTGCTGAAGGAACATGGATATCTGATATTTAATAACTTGAAAAGTAAACAAAATGATTTTTCTCCCTGTGCACAAAAATGACAACAAAGCATGTCAAAACTTTGTTACTGCACATTATTCAGCAATATCAATAGTGATGGACTAAATCACTGGTTCTTAACCTTAGGTTACTCAGGAGTTTTGGACTGCAACTCCCAGAAGCCTTCACCACCAACTGTGCTGGCTGGGGTTTCTGGAAGTTGCAGTTCAAAAACATCCGAGTAACAAAGGTTAAGAACCACTGGACTAAATGGTCTTAGAACAAAGTTACAGCATATTATACTAGAAATTATATATCACATTATTTGCAAGTTGATTATCCTTTCCCCTCCTCCCCCATTGCAGCCCATGAGAACCCTTTCCTGAAGTTTAGGGGGCCTTCTGAACAAGATGGGCTGTGTTAAAATTGAGTAGAGAAGCCTTCTATGGAAACTTATCATTTTTATTTCTTTACCTGGTGAAATCCTAGGTAGTCCACAATTGTTGGTGATGCGTAGAATATCATCCCATCACCACTCACTATCAGAGCAAAGCCACTCAATGACTGGAAAAGAAAAAAAGCAGTAAAAAAAATGATGAGACAAAATGGTCAAAATATGTTTTGCTTGTTCACTTCAGAGGTTGTCATGTAGATGATCTTTATAAAGCTCCAAACAGCACCTCAGTCAAGATTGCTCTGGTTCTGCTCTTCAACATTTTTATTAATGACTTGGATAAGGGAGTGCAGGGAATGCTTGTCTGATTTCTGGATGACACAAAATTGGGTGCAATAACTAATACCTTGGAAGACAGAAACAAAATTCAAAATGATCTGGATAGGCTGGAGCACTGGGATGAAAACAACAGAATGAAATAAGTGCAAAGTACTGCACCTCAGAAAAAGAAATCAAATGCACAATTACAAGATAGAGAATACCTGTCTCAGCAATGGTACAAATGAGAAGGATCTTGGAATTGCCGTAGATCACAAGCTGAATATGAACCAACAATGTGATGTGGCTACAAAAAAGTCAAATACTATTTTAGGCTGCATTAGTAGAAGTATAGTTTCCAAATCCTGTGAGGTGCTAATTCCCCTCTATTCGGCACTGGTTAGGCTTCATCTTGAGTACTGCGTCCAGTTCTGGACACCAGACTTCAAAAAGTATGCTGACAATTGGGACAAGTCCAGAGGAGGGCAACAAGAATGATCAGTGGCCTGGAAACCAAGCTCTATGAGGAAAAACGGAAAGAATTGGGCATGTTTAGCCTTGAGAAAAAAAGACAGAGGGATGATATGAAAACAATTTTCAAATACTTGAAAGGCTGTCATACAGAGGAGAGGCAGGATCTGTTCTTGATCATCTATGCTGACAATTTGGACAAGTTCAGAGGAGGGCAACAAGAATGATCAGTGGCCTGGAAACCAAGCTCTATGAGGAAAAACGGAAAGAATTGGGCATGTTTAGCCTTGAGAAAAAAAGACAGAGGGATGATATGAAAACAATTTTCAAATACTTGAAAGGCTGTCATACAGAGGAGAGGCAGGATCTGTTCTTGATCATCCCAGAGTGCAGGACACGCAACAATTGGCTCAAGTTACAGGAAGCCAAATTTTGGTTGAATATCAGGAAAAACCACCTAACTGTTAGAGCAGTAAGATAGTGGAACCAATTACCTCAAGAGGTCGTGAGTGCTCCAACACTGGAGCCATTCAAGAAACTTAAGATAACCAAATGGCAGATATTCTTTGATTTGTATTCCTGCATGAAGCAGCGGGTTGGACTTGATGGCCTAAAAGGCTCCTTCCAACTTCACTATTCTATGATTCAAAGCCGATGGCTTTTCCAAGATGCCTCAGGTTTGCTAACACTGGATACCTTTCTCTAATTGTTTCAACATGAAACAAACAAACAAACAAAGCAAAAAAGACATTGTAGCACCTTAAAGACTAACCACTATATTTTAATATGAGCTTTCATGGAACATGTCAATCATCATACATAAGAGTTAGAATACAGAAACTACATGGTGAAACATTAATGTCAGCCTCTAAGATAAGAGGACAGTGGTGTCTGGTTGCATTTCACACCTAGTAATAATTTAAGACCCCTGTTTGGTATTCAGTTTTTTTGCATTGCCCACAAATATCTTGACTGGACATCCTGTCACCCTATATATATGTTCCTTGAGTATCCTGCCACCCTATATATATCTCAAGGAACACCTGCTTCATAGAGGTTAACCTCTGATTATCATTGATTCTATCAGCAGAGCTATTTCCTGTTCAAGTGAAAATAATTTCTGTTAGAGTAATGAATGCAACAGAAAATGACACATTCTTTTTGTGGTGGATTTCCATTTCCTATTCTATCATGAATACAAGGAGTTAAATTTGCCAGCAGGAAACAAGCAAATTTATATATCCTTCAGGATTTTTCTCCTAAGAACAAACCACTTACCAGACAGAAAACCCAAGACAAACTGTGAAGCACATCAAGGTTGTGGCTTCACATTTGCCAAAATTTACATTTTATTAATCTGGACAAAATCAAATTGCAGACAGCATGACCACTTCCAAAGTTTCAACCCCTTATTAATGTATACCAAATTTCTGAAATAAGTGTCTATAAAATATTGATCTATTACTGTTAGGGGAAACTAATTATTTTACATAGGCTTGAAAACAGAGTGACAGCCAGCCTTGGACAACCATTCCATCAGAGACTTGGGATAAAATCTGAAGAGAACCCCTATTACAATCAGCATTGGTGTGTTTACGGAACTACAGTACAAGTATTTAGTCCCAGTAAGACAATCTCATATTTAAAAATTGTTTACCAGTTTCTGCTGCAGGGGCTATAATGCTGTGGGATTGTACTCACATATTCAGTGGTCATGTGTAAAGACTAGTCAATATTGGTCATTGATACATAAAGAAATAGAAAGTATAACAAATTAACAATTCCAATCAGATCATCTATTAGTTCTGTTACGTTTATTTCTCACAGAGAATACAGAACTTAGCAAGTCAAGAAAGAATAAAACACTGGAAAGATGCTACAGATCTCTCTTTGAATGCATGGTATAAAGGAATGTGGGATCTTGCTTTTTGAAAATATGAACAGAGGGATTAAGCCAGCTGGCTTTTAAAATGTTTTAGAATCTTGAGAGTTTTTTTAAAAAATGTCTTATAGTATAAAGGAGAGTTACAAATAAACAAAACTACTCTTTAATGTATGAACATAAATGACAGCATATGGTACATCCGTATGGATTCAATAACAGACAAAAATTCTGTTCTAGGATAAACGTTTGAAACATATGAAAGAGATAAGTATTTTGAACATTTATTTGTTGTGAAGTAGACAGTTTTTTTAATGGTTACATGGTACATGAGGAATGAAACCATTTTTAACTCCCGTCCGAAGGGGAAAAAAGTTGGCTGGAAAAGATGCTTTGTGTTATTTGTCAAACATGTAGATCCAATTATGTAGTCACGAAATGCTGCACCTGCTAGTTCACAAACAAATTAGCCCCTCATCGTTCACTAATACATTTGGAGGGGGTACTGTTCAAATTACTTTGACGATTAAAATTTTCTGTTTCTTGTGTGCACAGAGTTTAGAAGCATTTGTCAAGGCTGGAGGCAAATGTGGTCAAGAAAGCATAAAATTCCTTGGCAAGGTTTTATATATACTGTTTTGAAGTGAATTCTGCCAGAGTGTTGAGATATATATACTGCCCTCTTTTTCCTTCAGCATTCTGGCAGAATTCACTTCAAAACAGTTTGGGTCAAGGGCATTGTTAGAAAAAAAAAAAAAGGTTTTTTTTAAAAAAGTTCCCAGCCACACTTATTTCTTTTATTTTCTGAATTAAAAAAAAAAAAGAATGCCTTTATTGAAATCTCTAGAGAGGCAGTTGCTATGGCTCCAAAAGCACAACAGCCAAGGCCTTCAGTCCTGCCTGCCTTGAACATATTTTCAAGTCACGCAACATAGTATTACATTTTTAGAATCTCAACTTTCAGTTTATCTGAACAGTCTTGTTTATGAGTGCATTGCCCTTTCAGTGCACATGACGGTGGGTCTGCTTTCCAAATAACTGGCTATCATCAGCTTTTGGAAATGGGACACACATCCCCTGTATTTGCTGCACTATGATGGGAAGAACAAACTTTCTAGAAGAGGCTCCTTCGTTTGTGCTGCAACATTTGGGTCTGGATGGACTGATGATTAGAAAGCCAAGAGGAGCCATTCAACCTCTGTGTTCAGGCAAAGTTATCACTCTAGTCTTACTAGCAATACTGTTAGTTCTACTGTTACGTACATCCTGGGAGAAAGTCCTTAAAATTAATCAAACTTTCCCCCCAGTTTCTGAAGTGTCCTAATCTTTCTTCTGCATATGACGGACAATGACCAGGTCTTTAAAAAGAGCATTTTCCAAATTTTAGCATTCCTCCATGGAACAGGAATTCTTCTAAAGACCTCATCACAGAAACAGTCCGTGAAAACAGACATGTCCTGTTTATTAAAGACACTGAAACTTTCTCACTTCTTTTTATTTCTTTCTAATGAAAAGGAACTTTGGGAAGCTGCACGTGTGAATGGAGGAGTGTTTAGCTCTTCTCTGCAGATTGCTTTGCTCGGCAAAACCAAAATCAAATACAACCAATTTCCTTTGGCTACAGAGAAAAAAAGTATGAGTACTCATAGGTTGAAATGCCACTCTCCACAAAAAGCAGACCTAATCGGCAACAACAACTGTTGCAGGCTTTCCTTTAAATGACTGGTTGAACAAGGGGATTTTGAGAAGGATCATTTTGTGTGTTTTACTTGTGTTTCTAATCTTGCTGCTATTATGAGCTTTAACATGATATTTAAAAAGTGTAATAATTTATTATTGGGTCTTAACTCTGTTTCTTTTAACACTGTAAGCCGCCTTGGACCCTTTAGGAGAAAGGAGGCATATACATATTTTAAATAAATAAATAGTAAATAATAAGCCATACTGTGATTCAAAATGGCACCTAATCCAGTTCTTTTCAGCTCTGTTTTTTTTAAACAGACATGCTGCAGTTTCAGGCAGGCCGGGACCACCTCTTTTTCCCCATTAGTTGTCATCCACCCTTTTCTTGCCTCAGCCATTTGTCATCCCTTTAGATACTTGTGACAAGCACCCACATCACTCATGCTATTCATATTCATGAGCTGATTTGCATGAACCTATGAGAGGACTGGAGAGGCGGAGTCAGCAGCTACATGAGGCTTGATGAGAGAAGGAGGAGTCAGATAGGGCTGGTTAGTCAGAGGGGGGGAACAAATACTGAGAGAGATAGCGCTGGTTATGGAAATAGATAGAGAAGGTGGTAATGATATAGTAAGAGAAAAGAAGTATGTACTGAGAGAACTGTTGATGATTTGCTTCTGTACATTGTGTATCTGAGAAACTTCTGTTATTATTCAGTCTGCTTCACTACAATAAATAAGTTCTGTTTCTGTTCACAAGACAAGTGTTCTGACAAATGTCATTTATATAATGGATTGAGGTAATCCACTGGTGGCAGTGAGAAGAAAATGTGACGTCAGCCTTTGTGAGGGACTAGGAACAGAACCATGATGCAACCTCATCGTCGTCATCATGCAACCTCATGCCCGCTGCTCTTATAGTGTGCATATGATCCTGCTCATATAAATAAATCCTTCACAGGGACACTTTTCACCTCAAATGGTTGTTGCTGAGGGTAATTGCAGCTGACTCTCACAGCTACATCCTTAGATACTTTTCTGTCTATAGCTGAGTCACAGAAGACAGCAGGAAAATGACTAGGCAGCTAAACAATCGTAACATGAACTGAGACCCAGGCCATGGGAAATACCAGTTAGAGCAAAACAGATGTTGCATGTCAAACTAGACCAGTGGTTCTTAACCATTTTGAAAGTTAGAGCAGTGGTCCCCAACCTTGGGCCTCCAGATGTTCTTGGACTTCAACTCCCAGAAATCCTGGCCAGCAGAGGTGGTGGTGAAGGCTTCTGGGAGATGTAGTCCAAGAACATGTGGAGGCCCAAGGTTGGGGACCACTGAGTTAGAGCAAAACAGATGTTGCAAGTCAAACTAGACAATGCATTTATCTTGTGTCTTGCAGAGATGCCCCACAACTAGTAAAAGACATCAGTTTATCATGACACATAATTTTCCTCATCTACATATCTTGCATTGTATTTAGCATAATGTATTTAGCATGCATTGATTTGTGATAGGTCACTGGAAAATAAGCAGGTTTAATTCTAATTTCCAAGTCATGTATCTCTGAGGAAATCCCATTGAGAAATGGGAAAGTGGTTTAATAATGCTAATGTTTGGGATCTCTGTGACTGGAGGCCTTTCCTAGAGTATAAAATATCTGCACTGTGTTGAATGTAACTAGGGGTGGAAGAAAAACTGCTTCCATCTTGTTTGTTTATAGCCCACCAGCCTAACCCATTGGACCTGATAAGGGCTTCATCTCTTCCTAGGGCTTCCAAACCTTTTATGATTGGAGCAAATAGGTGTGTTTTCAGCAGACATGTGCAAAAATACCAACATCTTCAGGAGGCAGCCTGTAGAGAATACCAAGGGCTACAGAGCCTTGTTTGACAAGCAAATGGGAGAATGTTTTCTCCCATAGAGCTCCCAGACTGTGGAAAGCACTCCCCTCAAACTTGTACGTTTTGATGCCTGCTGGTTTTAGAAAGAGTTTCAAGGCCTATCTTTTTAAACTGGCTCATGGTATTGACTTATATCATGGTGATTTTACCTGATCCTTGACTTTGCTGATAGTAAAGTTTTAATGACTGTATTTGGTTTTTTTTATTTTAATAATTCGGTGTTTATAAGACACCTTGACTTCCAGTAGTGGAAAAATGGGATAGAACTATAACTAATCAGCAGCAGCAGCTTTTATATCACTTGTCATAGTGTTAGTTTCACATATATTAGCCCTCAAAAGAACATAGGTATTGTCTTCTTGTTGTAGAAAGACTAAAGCAAGATAGTGGGTCATTTTTTTAATATTGCTGGGCAAATGTGTGGAGGTCCTAGGGAAGTTGTGAGACTGCATGCATCCTATAGCCAGAGAACATGATATTAATACAATTCACTAGAAAAATACATTTCTACTATGTCATTATCAGAACTAGCCACTAGAGGAAGCCAGAGCCCCTGCTATGTATAGTGTGTATTATTATAGTAGCATTCACTATAATCTGCTTTTTTCAGCATTTGCACAGAAGAGGGCTTGGAATTGATCCCCCATGTATCCTACTGTATAAGTGAAGTGAGATATGCTCCAAAGATATTATGCTTTCAAATTGTTATCATTAGCAGCTAAAGCTGCGCTGCACCATTTACGAGTACACTGCTATTTAACTCAAAATAACGAGAGGTAAATGTGACTCCGGGGTAACACTCATTCACATTTAAATAAAGGACACAAAATTATGATTTATACAAGTAGGTTAGGAAATACCTTCTCGCTCTTCACTTCTGGTGAGTATGAATTGATTCCAACTACGACACTTTAAAATAGTGGTTCTCAATCTTTGGTCTCCAAGTGTTTGGGGTCTAAAACTCCCAGAAACCCTGGCCAGTACAGCTAGTGTGAAGGCTTCTGGAAGTTTTGGGGGGCTGAGAACATTTGTAGGTCCAAGACCCCTGCTTTAGGAAATTAACATAGGCGTTGATAAAACATGTCCATCTCTAATCTTGTTTAAGTCATGCCTCTTCATATGAAGATCTCTGTGCAGCACCACAGATGCTGCATGTGACCTCCCCCCACCTCCTGAATGGATGCCCCACTCATAAGCCTCCACGCGCCACCTGGGTCGTCCTCTGTCACCAGCTTCCCAGTCCAGGCAGAGAAGCTCCGGCTTGCTTTTCCCACCAGCTCTGGCCGCTGACCACTCAGAAAAGGTGGGATGGGGATTCTTCCCGCACAGCTGTGAAGTGGTCAGCTACTGGTGGCAATGGGGAAGAGAAGCTTGAGCTCCTCCCTGGAGTGGGCAGCCAGCAATGGAGGACAACCCAGGTGGCACACAGAGGCTTGGGAGAGGGGCAGCCACGTAAGTCGTGTCCATCTCTAAACAGGATTGTAAAAGCAGTTATGGAGTCGCAGGTTATGCAAGCATATCTGCAAAGTTAAATTAGAGAAATGCTATTTATCACCCACCTCTAATAAGAATCCACCTTCAGGAATTGCAGGTTCCTTGAGTAAGCTAATTTCTTTTATTCCATCATTTGTTTGCTTTCTCGGGTGCTTCTCTTGAAGAGCTGTCGGGAAGAATAGATTGATAGCTTAGTAGCAATATGAAACAATTGCCATTATTTTAGCATATGATTAATTCTGGTCACTTTGGGATTATTTCAAAGGCTCACTTTTAAAAACTGCAAGCTATTCTCTTTAGAATCTGAAAATCACAGCAATCTTAATTGGAAAGCATGATAAGACCAAATAGATGCATATTATAGGTAAAAGCAAAATAGAAATAAAAAGGTTTTTAAAAGCCAAACATGTTGTGGCACCTTAAAGACTAAATTTTATATTTTTTAATATGAGGTTCTGCAGACAAGTCCACTGCATCAGACAATTAGCCATGAAAATTCACATTAAAAAATTATGAAAGTTAGTCTTTAAGGTGCCACCATGTTTTTGGATTGTTTTAACTTTTCATTTCTTTTTTAATTTTACCCACAATGCTTGCATAGACACAGCTACCCCTTCTAAATCTATCTATCTATATATATCAACAATCTATGCAATTAATACATTATAAATATGTACACATTTATCCCTGTTATCAGTAAAGCAAATTTCTTATACGTACAAATTTATCCCTGTTATCAGTAAAGCAAATTTCTCTATCTACATTTAAATGTTGTTGTTGTTTAGTTGTTAAGTCATGTCCAACTCTTCATGACCCCATGGACCAGAGCATGCCAG